CATACAGAAAAAAAAAAAATTAGTTGGTGCAGAACAATAGGCACAACAAAAACATTAAATCTCTGCTTTTCTTCCTTTTTCTTGACAAAACACTTTATGTATAACATATGGTTATGTCCAATACATAGATGGAATCCCATTAGCATTGCATTATAAGGTAAAGTGTGGCACTGGATACATACTGTATGTTTGCATGCACTGAAGGAACCTATCCAGTTGACTTGGGTAGTATCTATTGGGCTAGCAACTGCAAACCAACCTATAGACTGAGATTTACTGACTGTGGGGAAAGGGGTTCATGTTAGGATATGCAACAGTAGTGAAGATAAAGCACTTCAACAGAATTACAGTGTTATTGTAAATATATGTAAATAACAATTATTTTATTTTGTATTTTTTTTTTTTCAAGATAAGGTTTTCACTATCCCTTAAAGTGAATCTGTGCTTTTCCCATACAGGGCAAAGCATTGGGTTCCTTTTAAAAATGACCCAGTCAGGAAGTTCCAACAAAGAATACACTGCTACTTATGCCAATCCATTCAGAAGGAATCATCCACTGGAGCCTTTCACAAAAACCAACATTCTTGGGAGTGTGAATCTCCTGGTTTCTCAAAGCACTGACCTCCATAGTGGTTTGGAGGTCAGTGGGAGGTACCAGTGAGTGCTGTGGGTGACCAAGAGATCAAAAGTCCCAGATGTCAGTTTCTGCAGACTTCATGAACAGAGTGGCATAAAGTAAGTACACACCTGTCTATCACGTCCCTGCCTTTCATTGGCCTAGAAGCTCAGGTTAACATCTGAGTGTGCTCGTGGAATTTACCATTTCATTTGACCACAGGAAAAAAAAAAAAAAAAAAAACGGAATGCAGAGGCAAAATCTGAACATATTTTGGATGCAATCTAAATTATACACATGAATCCTTAAGGTTAACCAATGTAGAATGTAAAAATGTTTTATAACATAGTAGAGAAGGTGAACTATTATACAGAAAATAGCAGTAGCTGTTTGATCAGTTCTTGCTCCGCTCTGAACAGAGAGTGATGACTGTCAGTCACCACTCTCTACTCTGCCCCTCCAGCACTCACTGGAGCACCAGGCTGGAGAGAGAGTGGGGAGCAGCTGGTTTAGGCTCACGGAGAGGACGATCCAGCTGCTGGTTAGGCATCTGGGTGGATCCTGACATTATTTCTGGGATCCTTCCAGAGTCTGGAACTGTTTATGTGACATCAGCTTTAGCCCACTGTTGGCTGATTCTGGGTCACGGGAGAGCTCAAGTAAGGTCACTCTTGTGACCCACAAGAGAATTATGGCCAAAAAAAAAAATCTTTGGCCATAATTCTCTTTTAACCTGTCTGATTACCATGTCGCCAACTGCTCTTGGTGAGTGGTGTCTGCTCATTTATTGTAAAAATGTGAACGATTTAGCACATATCTACCAGACTTGGCGGTACATTATGTATACAGACAAAACAATTACCCAACTTACAGTGTATGCATAGCCTAGGCCATTTTCTTTTTTTGAATAGAGTATGGAAGGATTAGAACCTCAGTCAGACTGCTGTTGCTGCCTGTGCCCCGCTGGGAAGATTTACCCCATTTGTCTTTCTAACCATAGTCATGGAGGCAAAAAAATTTTAGTTGTCATCACAACAGGAATGGAGGGGAAATCTTTTGTCAGAGACACCTGATGTGGTAACAACTGTCTAAGACAGTTTACCAGTTCTCCCAATTGTGTAGAGATTTCCTCTCACTTCCTGTTACATCTCTGGGACAGAGAGTAAAAGGAAAATCTTCCCAACCAGACACAGATGGAAAACAAAAAAATAAACTTACATGGGTTTTCACCATTCCCAATTCTATCCAAGAAAAAAAAGCTTTGACTGTACATATATCTTTACCTCTTGGCGCTAGCTGCACACAAGTGTGCGGCCTTCCGGCGTCTAGGCCTTGAAGCCGAGCGGCCGCACATTTGCGCGCAATTAAGAAAAACGTGCTGAGAGCGCGCGCGCCCTGCGTGCTCTCAGCACACATGTCCAGTACTTACGGAAAGGTCCCGATCTCTTCTTTCGATCAGGACCTTTCCCGATCATGTGACCGCCATGACAACGAATCACGGTGGTCACATGACCCTAAAACCCCACCCCCTGGCTTCTGAAACCCTTAGAAGGCCGGGTGGTGCCGGCGCCAAGGGGTTAAACATTACATTTCCTTACAATGACAAGGGCCAGTCTACCAAACCCTACTGAACATATAATTCTAGTAATGGGGATTAGGTATAGGTTAGTGCCTGGTTACTGTCTGAACCTATTCATTTCACTATCATTCACACAATGGACGCCTACACAGAGTAGGTTTTTTAAAGTGCCAAAAAATTCCCAGAAAATAAGCGAGAAGAAAACATTGCACATTAACTGTCCAAAGGTAGAAATAAATACATAAATACAAAAAAGGAATGATTTATCCTTTCCCATTATCAGTAGATAAAATCTTTGAAACAATCTTTGACACACAGAGAAGAATGCCATTTTCACCAGGCATGGTATGGTCTTTATGTCCTAAATGATTACTCTTGAATGTACTATCCAACTACACACCATCCCCGTAAAAATTAAAAAAAAAAAAAAAAAAAACAAAACACACGCACGCAACCCCCCCAAAAAAAAAACCAAATCAAGTGTCAATAATAACAATGCCGTGACATTTAAAGTGTGATAATGTTTGCTTTGTAGCAGATTCCACTGCACCATTTTAAAGTAAACCCAAAGAAAATAAAAGCAGATTAATTCCCATGCTGTACAGAAGGCATTATCCATTATCTTAACTATTGTTCCATTGCCCTGGTAAAAACTGGCATATAATTAGATATGGAACTATCCCTAAGCTCCAACAATCAGTGACCAACCACTATGTCTGGTCACATTGTGAAGGTTGGGGGGCGCGGAGGTGACATGCATTGCTTAGTTCTAGTATTAACCAAAAAAGTATTCAGTATTTGTATTGGATTTTGACAGTGGTCCCAACAGGAATCAGGTCAGCAGACAGCTGTAGGGGCAAGTAATAGTGGTTACCTTCTACAAAGTGGAATGGTCAATTTAAAAACTTTTGTTTTTAATACAGGTCCACTTTAAGTCATCAAAGGCTGGGAAGAGCCTAGGTACAGTTCCCTGCAAAGAGGTTACAGGACATGAAGTGAGCTGTGTATATGGATGAAAGATTACATCCTTATAATCAATTTATCTCACATCCTGAGAAGCTTTTTTTTTATACCATGTGTTGCAAGGCACTGCAATCCAGGTGCGCTGTGAAGGCGTGTTGGGGTGCCATCCAAAATAAATGGAACTATACCTCACCAACTCACGTAAAAGTACATTACGGTGTTGCAGTAACCAGCCTTAGGCCTCTTGCACACGAAAGTAAAAAAAGCGCCACATTTTTTACGGGTTTGAAATTAGATGCATTGTTGTCTATGGCACAATGCACACAGCCGTGTAAAGATCAGTAGTACAGCGAAAAAAGTACAGAGCCGTAAAATAAAAATAGAAAATTTTACATTTGAGTACAGTAATTTAAGCGCATGTGTTTCTAATAGCATGTTTATGCGAATATAAATGAGTATATTACAACAATGAAGAAGAATTTTACTTGTCTATACACTTACACACCATTATGCGTGTTTACGCAAGGTCTTTATGGAACATTTTATCCAGGATTCTTTCTTTCGACAAGATCCAGGAGTATAAACATCAGTAAATTATTACACCAGTTTGCAACTGGCCTAAAAACACAAAGCTAACTTCATGTCCAGAAATCCTTACAAGAAAACTGCCTCCATGATTTTGTTACATCCTTTAGCTCAACATAGCAAACAACCTGAACAGAAAAATGTACCTAAATGTAAAATAACCCAAATCCTATACAGGTTTGCACACATTTTGTGCATAAAGTTGGAAATGATAGTTGTGTCTCCTGTATTTAATGATAGCTTGCGTTTTAGCAGAACTTTCAATGTCATTTATGTATGGTGCTATACTCAATACAAGGCTTGATTATGTAGTATGGAGAAAATGAAAGGGAATGACTTCAGCAGCTATCATGTACAGGTCTGGCTGGCTCAATTAAAAAAAAAAAATCTGGGAGCCATTCTAAACACCTAAAACCTTAAAAACCACTTAGTCTTGCCGGATAGCAGGCACCAAAGGTGTCTGACATAACTATTCTTATCCAGAAAACCTCCTCTGTGCATCTCTCCAATTTTGATTTATTTTGTTATAGGAGCCCAACTTTCCAGAATTTAAGGACAAGCCCAGGCCAACTGCTATCCTCCTGTCCACTAAGAGAAAGTTAGTTGTCATTAATGGCACTCTTATTGGACAGGGTGAAGGAAGGTGGGTGCTGCCTAACCCAAAAATGAGGAATTTCAGGTCTTTGTAACAAAGTGAAAATAATTAAGGCACACAGAGGAGGCTCAGAAATAACACATTTTGTGCTGCTTCCTCTACAACAGAACTTTTGGTTTTGTTTAAAATGGCTTGCAGGTTAACTTTAACAAGAATAGTAGATGGACCTTTTAAGAAACATTTTAAATTTACCAGCAACAATAACATCAATTAAAACAAATACTTTTTTGGTGTTAGATTCACATTAAATGGATTCTTTTAATCACAGGGACAGCAAAAATGTACATATAAATGCATTAACTCTTATATACAATACATCTTTGTGAAATATTTACATTACACACATGAACCTGGAAAATGTGGTCATTGTGTTGTATCTAAATTTTACACACTGTCATAATTAGTTACATGTCATTGGAACTAAAGCCAAAAAACATAAAACCATAAAAATGACTCCGTGACCTTCAAGTTGTATCAGGAAATATACAATGAGCTTGATAGTCGGGTCATGTTTCACTCCCTGCATCGCCGTCCACAATAAAGGAGTTCTTATATTACAAGGAAGAAAGTATATTCATTTGTAAGCAGTCATTTGTGGCTCTTCATCCTCCTCGATAGATTGAATTCAGTCGCTCAAGTTCTTTGCAGTATTGCATAGATATTGACTCTGCTTTCACTCGCAGTCTATCATCTCGGTATACTTTTGCTGCATGTATTAGATCAGCTTCTGTAAGCAATAAAAGCATCCTAATCAGAACTTTGCCATATAATTAGACAAGACTTGCAAAAAGTACCAAGAATTTAAGCCAGAGGAATAATATTTTTGCATTGAGGCATTGGGATGATAATCTGGTGAACACACACACAGGCAAAGCACCAGGTATTTTTCTGCAGCATTGTAAAGAGGCAAAACATGGAGAAATCTGTTGTGTTGTCCTGAAGGATTTACTTTTATCTTGCCCAGACATACATGTTAACCCTTTTGCTGCCACTGACAAAAGTGTATGTATTTGCATGTATACTCTCATGTATACACATATGTAAACAAATTAGTCGGGTGTGGTTACGTTAAAAAATGTAGATTGCGCTACATGTTCCATATTACAGCGTATGACAGAGAGCAATACTTTTGGGCCATCATTTATCTATCTAATCAACACAACCTCATATTTTCCATTTTATCACAAAAATTAGGTAATACACTGCTCAAAAAAATTAAAGGAACACTTTTTTAATCAGTATAGCATCAAGTCAATTAAACTCCCGGGGTATTGATCTGGTCAGTTAAGTAGAAGAGGAATGGTTTTACAGGTGGAGGCCACTGACATTTTTTCCCTACTCATCTTTTCTGACTGGTTTTCACTAGTTCTGCATTTGGTTAGGGTCAGTGTCACTACTGGTAGCACGAGGCGATACCTGGACCCTACAGAGCTTGTACAGGCAGTCAAACTCCTCCAGTATGGCACATCAATACGTGCAATTGCCAGGTGGTTTTCGGTGTCTCCCAGCACAGTCTCAAGAGCAGGAAGGAGATTCCAGGAGACAGGCAGTTACTCTAGGACAGGGGTGTCAAACTAGCGGCCCTCCAGCTGTTGCAAAACTACAAGTCCCACCATGCCTCTGCCTTTGGGAGTCTTGTAACTGTTAATCTTGCAATGCCTTATGGGACTTGGAGTTTGGCAACAGCTGGAGGGCCACCAGTTTGACACCCGTGCTCTAGGAGATCTGGACAGGGCCGTAGAAGGTCCTTAACCCATTAGCAGCACCAATATCTGCTCCTTTGTGCAAGGAGGAAAAGGATGAGCACTGCCAGAGCCCTACAAAATGACCTCCAGCAGGCCACTGGTGTGAATGTCTCTGACCAAACAATCAGAAACAGACTTGAGGGTGGCTTGAGGGCCCGACGTCCTCTATTGGGCACTGTGCTCACTGCCCGGCACCATAGAGCTTAATTGGCATTTACCATTGAAAACCAGAATTGACAGGTCCATCACAGATGAGAGCAGGTTCACCCTGAGCACATGTGACAGATGTGAAAGGGTCTGGAGAAGCTGTGGAGAACGTTATGCTGCCTGTAACATCGTTCACCATGACCATCTTGGTGGTAAGTCAGTTATGGTCTGGAGAGGCATATACATGGGGGAGGGGGGGGAGGGCAGACCTCTACAGGCTAGATAATGGCACTCTGACTGCCATTAGGTATCGGGATGAAATCCATGGACCCATTGTCAGACTCTACAATGTAGTAGGTCCTGGGTTCCTCCTGGTGCACAACAATGCTCGCCCCCACGTGGCAAGAGAATGCAGGCAGTTCCTGGAGGATGAATTGATACTATTGAATGGCCCCCCATGCTCGCCTGACCTAAATCCAATAGAACACCTCTGGGATATCAGGTTTCAGTCCATCCGATGCCGCCAGGTTGCACCACAGACTGTCCAAGAGCTCAGTGATACCCTGGTCCAGATCTGGGAGGAATTACCCCAGGACACCATCCGTCATCTGATTAGGAGCATGCCCCAATGTTGTCAGGCATGTATACAAGCACATGGAGGCCATACAAACTACCATTTTGAGTTGCTGCAATGAAATTTCAGCAAAAATGGACAAGCCTGATGCAAAAATTTTTTCTCTCTTTGATTTTCAGGGTGTCTTTGAATTCAGTCCTCTGCAGGTTGATAATTTTCATTTCCCTCAAACGATGGGGCATCCTTACGTTCCTAACACATTACCCAGTCCATATCAGTATGGATATCCAGCATGATATTTTTCCCCATTTGGATCTGATGTATTTTCAAAGTGTTCCTTTAATTTATTTGAGCACTGTATATTATGCTTGTGTGTATAAATTAAAGTGATAGTAAAGGTTGTTTTTTTTTCTTTTTAAATAAACGTGTTATACTTACCTGAGCTGTGTAATGGTTTTGCACAGAGCAGCCTCCATCCACCTCTACACAGGTCCCTCGCCGGCACTCCTGGCCCATCCCTTCTGCCTAGTGCCTCCATAGCAAGCAGCTTGCTTTGGGGGCATCTGAGCAGACTCAGTTACAAGCTGTCCATTCACACACAGAACGCGGCTCCACTCTGCCCCACCCTCTCCTCACTGACTGTGACTCACAGTAGCGGGAGCCAATGGCTACTTCTGCTATCTCAGCTAATGAGGAGGGAGAGACTGGGGAGAGCCAAGGCTCTCATGCACATCACTCTATCAAGATGGGGCTCAAGTAAATATTAGGGGGGGGGGGGGCTGGGGTCGCTGCTGCACATAGGCTTTTTTACCTTCATGCATAGAATGCCTGAAGGTAAAAAAACTTGAGCCTTTACAACTAGTTTGCATATTTTCAGGAAGAAATACACTAAAATCATTTAATAACCAGTTTTGTTTATTTCAAGTGACATAAAAAAAAAAAATGCAGCTACCACTATTTTAATCTATAGGCTCTCTGCTTTCAGAATATATGTGGTTGTAAAACCCTTACATATACCCAGTGACATGACTGACCTCAGGTGATACACAGAGATGAAAGAAATCCTCTTACATGAGTAGTATCCGTTAATCTGCAGCCTTCTTTTCTTTACAGCCTTTCAAAATGCAGACTTTATACAGCTGGTCTAAGCTTTCAGAAGGCAGGAGTCAGGGAGCTGAAAACTCTGCAAAGCTCATTGAGGACAGCTCACTGGAGGGAAGGAACACAATATAGGAACCCTTCCCACACCACGCAGGAACAGAGCTGAGGCTGTCAATCACAGGCTGTGTGCTGGTGCTCCTTCCCCTGTTGCCTTTTTCTCTCTTGATGTCAAAAGTGACTCATGCATATAGCAGAGGAATGAGGAAGCAAACAGAAATAACACTAAAACTGCTCATACATGGATTGAAATTCAGCTGGCTCAGCAAGGACCTGAATTTCGATCAATGCATTGGCCACTGTGGTTGAACAGAAGCCGATCTACTCAATTCTGTTCACTAGTGTGCAAAGTAAGAGGAGCTGCATTAGCACATGATTTTATAGAGTGGTTATAACCATATACACATCCTACATTATCTTTTACGCTGCACTGCGTCAAAGTACCTTTTGCATAAACAGATAAGTTCACCCTGTGAGCAAGAAACTTGTGCTTGGTTAGGTACATGCATTATAAAAGCAGGTTTCAAGCAAAACAAGTCAGGTTAAACAGGTTATGTGTCAGGATGAGGTATAGTACAACTGATAGTTGCTTTGGGATGGTGGCTTGGTTTCCCCTTAAAAGACAATGTAACCTCCAAGAGAATGACATAGTACTGTGCAGTATATTTTGTAATACAGTATTTGTTTTCACAGTTCTCTGATCCTTTACAATAGTTACTGTAAAGGCGAACTGGCTTACGGCTTATTCAGATCAGAATGCGGTGTGGGAAACCCGTGTTCTGTGTGCATTTCCCGCACCGCATTTACAACGCACTGGGTTCAATCTGCTGTGAGTGTCAATATAATCCCAAAAATATTGCCTGCACCAGATCGCTTGGTACCACGGTAATTCATTATGGTACATTTGAAAAAGTATTGCATGCACTACTTTTGATGTGATCCAGTGTGATTTTAGCCCATTCAAATGAATTAGGCTAAATAATTGTACTGCACTGAATTGCACTGTAATGTGTACTGCCTTCCTGTGTGATTCAATGTGAAACAGCCCTCGAAGCTTGAAAAACACCCAAGGAGGAAAATCCCTGGGTCCATAGACTACATAACTCAGAAAACATAAAATGAACAACCTTATGGACGCAAACGACCCAATATACTTCATTCACAAAAAATGTTATAAGACCATGAACCGCTTTTAACAAAATATACAACATTTTTTATTAGATATAGTAAAGTATAAGGACTTACAATCAATATAGCCAGTATACAAAAGCTTTTCACATCATTCTGTCTTATTAATTACCCTTCTCGGTTGTTTCTTACTATTTTGCGTCTTATTTTGTTTTTCATCCTTCCCAGCCGAAGCTAACGCCATGGTATATGTTGTCTTCCGCCTCCACAGTGTATATTGCTTTTGCCCTTTCGGTAATCTTGCACATGTGCACTAATTTTTAGCAAAGCCTAGTTTTTTGTACCGGGATTACTACGGAAACCAAGTCCGGCATGTCTATGAATCACACACCTGAGCCTGGTTTATGTTATGTTGTAAAAAAAAGTAGACTACATCCAGCAAGTGATGTACAGTACTGTATCTCCTCCCCTCTTGTCTTTTGATCAGTGCCGATGTTAACACCTCCTTGTGTCATAGCAAGTCACATGGGGTATTTCAGAAAGTTGTGAATGGGCCTGTACTCTCATGAGATCGCAGTGCAATGCCACAGAGAGTTAATAACACAGGCACTGCATCTTCCTGAATGGACTGACAGCACACAGAGAGAATTCCGGAAATGTCCTCCAATATGCACATGCGTCGGTGGCGTCATTAAAGTTAACATCGCCCTATTTCTTCACAATGGCACAGGCTAGGCTGATTGTAAAGACAGCACAATCTATATTGTTTAAGAATGATTTTAATGGAGGAAAGTTAGAATGCAGAGTTTACTACCACTTTAACAGATTCGATAAAAATACCACCAATTAAAATACCACAAATCTGGACATACTGTAAATCTCACATAAATAACTTGCCACAAGATGATTTTGTGACCAGAGACCAACCCAAACTAATACAGGGATGTTGAACTCCTATTGCCCAATAGGCGAGACATGTAGTTCAGGGGAAACACGCAGGTAGTTTTTTTCTACCTTTAGCCCTGCTGCGGGAAAGCAGCGGGCTCATCTGTCAGGTGGAAGCCTCTAAAACCCCTCGTGTGAACCTCCCCCCGCCCACTATCTCCTGGGCTCCGCTTGCCCATCTGCGGGCCCGGTTCACCGCTGTCAGCTAGAGTGGAGGTAGGAGAGCGGACACGTCCGCTTCCCTCCCCTTCATGTCCTGACCCGAAAGTGATGTTATGATGTCACTTCCTGGTCCACGTTGAGAGATTCACTAAATGTAATGTGGTGCGATGTGCACTGCTTTACATTCAGTATAGTACAGGGGAGACATGCAGGGTCTTTTAGACCTTGGATATCTCAATAAAGAGAACCTGTCACCTAATAGGGGACAAGTAGTTTTTTTCAAAAATTTCCACACCCCTGTAATATGTTTAATTTTTCTTTGTCCTGTTCTCCTACAGCTATTTTCTGTGTACATGCTTTCACTCCAGCACCCGCTGGGTGTCATTTCTCTAGGCGGGTTTCCAGTTGTTGACAAAAGTGCAACACGTATGTGGAATGTGCATTATGGGGACAATGTGTGACAGGGGTGACAACAGAGGAGGACAATTAGGAGACAGGAAAAGTGCATTACGACCCCCCAATAACAGAAGTGTCTGTACATTAGACTTTCATGACAGGATCACCAGGAAATTTTTAAAGAAAGCTATTCATATTGAAAATGTTAGCGCTTGAAAAGGAGATTTCAGCGATTGGATTTACCTATATTTAACCCCTTCCCTTGAAGAAGTTTTAAATGCCAGGAGGCGGAGGCAGGTATTCTGGTCATGTGGCCGCTGTGACTGGCAGTAACATGATTGGAAAGCTCCCAATCGCAAGTAGGCACTGGGAACTTTAAGGTTCCCGCTGGTAACTCTGCTGGGGGAGCGCGCAGGGCACATACTTTCAGCACAGAACGGTTTACATTTGGGATGCATATATGCTGTTTCTTGGCGTTAAAGCCCACTTGCCAGCAGGCCGCATATATGCGTATGGCTGGCGGGAACAGGTTAAAGAAAAAAAAAAGTGTGCACGACAGGAAGCTTTAACTGTATGAAAGTATTTTGTCACAAACAGCATCCAATAAAGAAAGTCATATTTAGGTAACATTTCTCTTTTGTAAGGTTGAACAAAAGTTTGGAGTTGGTTTACAGAAATAGCAGCTTTTTGTCTCCTCCAGGGACTGAGGCAAACCCACACTATAAATGAAGGTTCATTTATTAGTCATCAGACATCTCTTGGTGAAGGCTAAAACAAAATGAAAAGCTAGCTACTACTGAAAAACTGCTATCTTCCTCAAAATGGCCAATATTTTGTGGACGCCTGACCAGAGCATGTACCAACCTGGCCAAAAGTATGTGGACACCCATTCAAATTACTGAGTTTAGATGTTTCCAATGGTGGCTGCTGATAATGCTACAGAACAAAGCCATATCCCTCCCTCCCTCCTAGATTGTAAACTCCAAGGAACCGGGTACACCTAACTCTCTTGTATTGAACTGTATTGTTGCTGTATCGTCTCCCTTTATATTGTAAAGCGCCGAGCAAACTGTTGGCGCTATATAAATCCTGTATAATAATAATAATATTAAACATATGTGCCCTACCAAAGTTGTGGCAGCAGTTTGGGGAAGATTATTTCCAGTTCCAGCAAGACAAAGCCAAGTCCATAAAGACAATGGTTGAGGAGTTTGGTCTGTAGAAACCTGATTGGTATGCACACAGCACCGACCTCAGTCCTACTGAATGTGAACCAGGTCTTCTCATTCAACATCTGCATCAAACCGAACAAATACTCTTCAGACTGAATGGGCACAAAGTCCCACAGACACATTCGAAAAGGATTTGAAAAGCCTGTACAGAAGAGTTAAAGTTGTTAGCTGCAAAAGGAGGAAGGGGTAAAACTCTATATTAATTGCCATGGGATGTCCTAAAAGCTTATATAGTTCTGATGGCCACATAACCATAACTTTTGGTCATATAATGTAACTAAAAAAACCAAAACAAACATTTTTTACAAATACTTACTCTGTTGTTTTTCTCGCCAGCAGTTATTCCTTACATTAGCCACATAATCCTCTTCAATATTCTTTTCTAACTTCTGCAGTGACATACCACTATATTCAGACTGAAAATCCTTGCTTACGTAGTATGGTACTTGAAGATTTTCTGTTAGGCGCTTGATGGTTTGACCGCTGAGAATAGACAGAGAACCTTATCAACAAACCAACAATAGCATTAGCATTGTTCTAATGACACAGAAGCAAAACTAATGACAACCCCAAAAAGAAGGCAAATATAAAAATTAAGATTACATTCTTGCATTAAATATTGCTTCATGCATGTCCATAGTTTGGGAAGTCATGAATTCATGAGGATGCTAAATCTATTAAGACTTGCAATGCATAAAACTGTGACCTTTGTTTTTTTTTTTTTTTAAGACCAGATCTGCACATTGTGTTATATAAAAAAAAAAAACAAAAAAAAAAAACAACAACAAACATGCTAGTCACTAATGAACAGTGCCTTTTTACTTCACCACAGAGCAAAGGATTAGCTTGCTATACAAGACTATACAAGATTTACATCGTAATTCTGAATATTTTTTTTTTTATATAAAACCCAAGTCCAGTGATCACCCACCATCCTCCCCTTCAACAGGTCACCACTGCAGCTGCATTTTTTCTGTTGCAATCATTTCTACCAGTTATAGAAAAAGGGAACAATGATGCCCATGCAGTGGCTAGAACATCTGGTTGAAGTAACAATCTGGACAAAACGTCCATAAACAAAAACACATATGTAATTGCCCGAGACCTATATGTAAAAAAAAAAAAAAAAAAAAAAAAACACAAAAGAAGAGGTGGGCCCTAGAGAGATCATCCAATTTAGAGAATCCCTTGGACTTCAGACTAAGTGCGATGTAGGCAAAAAGAGAAAATAGGAAGGGTAGAAGAGAGGAAAGGTAGGGATGGTGAGGAAGAAAACAAGGAGGTGGAAATGAGCAACAGAGGGGAAAGAAAGGGGGGTAAGGTAAGACAAGGTAAAGTGGGCACACAAAACACCTCCCCCATGGCCTTTGTCAGTCGCCAAAGAGCCAGAGATAACTCTGGCTCAAGGAGTTCAGAAATGGGAAGGCATGGGTACTTTACAAGCTGGCCCAAATTAACTGTGTCAGAATGGCAGGCTGATGATGTCACAATATATGGCTCAGCCAATTAGAGGAAGCTTTGTATACATTGATAAAATACATTGCTTACTCTGAATGGCTGAGCTTCGCTGTGATAGACTGTACTGTGTTCTGGGTCTCAGACTGACAGTCTCAGCGCAAACCCGGAACACAGTGCAGTATGCTGTATGTAGCCACAGCTACATACAGTTTATACCGCACATCTAGCGGCCTCACAGGTTAGTGGGGGACATAGTTCGTTTGGGCCAGCTTGTAAAGTATATCGAAAGGTGGAGATTCATTTTAACTTAAAGTTGAACACTGGATTTCTTCCAGGCTCTAGATATTGTATGTTTATTAGCCAGGAACAAACAGGATGCTAGTTTTTGTTGAACTATTGACAGGAAAGAAGTTCCAGGATTTTGTAATGAAGAAGGGCTATCCGTGGGTCCTGTGTGATTACTACATGGAACAACTGCTGTAAGGTAATAGTGGATGAAAGGAAGAGGACCTCTGTGGGGCATTAAGCACCTTTTCCCTTTTAAATTTAGCATATATGGCAACATTTGTTAAATCAGCCCTAACAGACATAGCAGACAGACACAATTAGGTTAGAAAGTGAGCCAAAAAATCAATACAAGATGAAATGTCAACTATGCAAAGTATGTGTGTTCTCATTTAAAATACTGAAGCGGTTTTAGTCCTTTTGGGACTTACTCTTATGTCATATTGGCGAAAACCTAAGCTTGTGATTTTGCGATTGTTCACATCCCAATTATTCGCCCTTTTTTCTCTGTATTTGTTAATTTCAATAAAAATATTGGAAATTAAAATACTGAAGCTGTTCACTTACGATCTGGGGTATAAACTGTATGGAGGATTGGAGACCATTAATTGGCTAAGCAAAGACACTAGTATCAATACAATTATAGGCATTAGTTGAATAATCATGGAGAAGCCACCCTGTGGAAGAAAAAAAAAAAAAAAAGTAAAAAAAAGAATTAGTATGATGACTTTACAACATGAAAAGCCACTAAACACAGTAATGATGTGAGGTATTTTTAAATTTCCTATTAAAGATTTTTTTTTTTTTTCTAACATTACATCAGCAATCACATTAAAAACATCCCCCCCATGTTAAAACCGTATATTTACACATTATGTATTATGCATTAGATAGGTACAACTGCTGTTTTTGATGTACTATTAGCATTTTAGATTAATGTACTGGTCATTGCACACACCTGCAGGTGGCACACAGTTTGCGCTGATGTAAAATTGAGTGCTTTGTTAAAATAGTTGAGAATGAATACCATAGGCATTCTGTCTGGAATTTGCATGTTGGGATGAAGTCCTAAGAGGAGTGCACTTCCTAGGGTGACAACACTCTTCTTGTGTAAACATTATAGATGTGTTGTCAGCCTACAACAGGAAGTCCCTTACTGGCAGGATTAACAGGTGCAAACTGAAAAAAGAGAAAATCTGCATTACAAATGCCTCCCAAGTCCCTCATATGCAAGTATAGGTAAAATGCTACACAAACCCGGTTCACACCAGAATGCAGTTTGTGCGTGTTGCGTGTGTGTTTTGCAAACTGCGTTCGAACACACTGCTCGTGATCTGCATGCGGATGCCAATGTATTGTTAACAGCACTGCAAATGCAGATTGCAAATGCAGTGTATTTTCGGCCACCAAATCGCATGGTACTTCAGTACCATATGATTTGATGCAGTGTGTTTTTAAAAGTAGTGCAAGTACTACTTTTTGAGCAGTCCAGTGACTTTTCCAGCCCATTCTAATGAACAGGCTGTCAAAACAGGCAGTCTTGGGAACGTTTAGGAATCAAATGGGAATGTGTGCGATCTACAGTTGCAAGAAAAAGTATGTGACCTTGGGATTACGTGGAGTTTTGCATGAATTGGGCATAAAATGTGCTCCTGAACGTCATCTAAGTCACAACAATAGAAACACAGTCTGCTGAACATAATACTACACAAACATTAGATGTTGCCATGGTTTTTAATTGCACATAACATGTAAACTTTCACAGTGCAGGGAGGAAAAAGTATGTGAGGCCCTAGCTTAATGACTTCTCCCAGAGCTAATTGGAGCCAGGAGTGAGCCAACTTTGACTCCAGTCAGTGTGAGGATATTGGATGTGTTGCTGACAGCTGTCCTGCCCTTAAAAAAACACACACCTGTTTTGGGTTTACTGGTTTCAAGAAGCACTGTCTGATGTGAACCATGCCTCACAGAAAAGAGCTCTCAGAAGACCTACGATCAATTGTTGAAGGAAAGGGTTACAAAAGTATCTCCAAAACCTTGATGTTCATGTGTCCATAAGACAAGACTTTCTACAAATGGAGAAAGTTTAGCACTGTTGCTACTCTCCCTAGGCGTGGTCGTCCTGTAAAAATGACTGCAAGAGCACAGCGCAGAATGCTGCATGAGGTAAAGAAGAATCCCAGAGTGTCAGCTAAAGACCTACAGAAATCTCTGGCACATGCTAACATTTTTGTTGACACATCTACAATAAGGAAAACATTAAACAAGAATGGAGTACATGGGAGGACACCACGGAGGAAGCCATTGCTGTCCAAAAAGAATATTGCAGCACATTTGAAGTTTTCAAAAGAGCACCTGGATGTTCCACAGCACTACTGGCAAAATTACTGTGACAGATGAAACCAAGATTGAGTTGTTTGGAAGAACACACAACACTATGTTTGGAGAAAAAAAGGCACAGCACACCAACATCAAAACCTCATCCCCACTGTAAAATGTGGCGGAGGGAGCATCATGGTTTGGGGTGCTTTGCTGCCTCAGGTCCTGGACGGATTGTTGTCATTGATGGGAAAATGAATTCCAGAGTTTATCAAGACATTTTGCAGGAAAACGTACGACCATCTGTCCGCCAACTGAAGCTCCGCAGAGGATGGGTGATGCAACAGGACAATGACCCAAAGCATACAAGTAATTCAACAAAACAATGGCTGCAACAGCACAGAATACGCCTTCTGGAGTGGCCCAGTCAGAGTCCTGACCTCAACCCGATTGAAATGCTGTGGCATGACCTTAAGAGAGCGATTCACACCAGACATCCCAAGAATATTGCTACACTGAAACAGTTTTGTGAAGAGGAGTGGTCCAAAATGACTCCAGATCGTTGTGCAGGTCTGATCTGCAACTACAGGAAACGTTTGGTTGAGGTTATTGCTGCAAAAGGAGAGTCAACCAGTTATTAAGTCCAAAGGTTCACATACTTTTTCCTCCCCTGCACTGTAAATGTTTACATGTTATGTGCAATTAAACCATGGCAACATTTAATGTTTGTGTAGTATTATGTTCAGCAGACTGTGTTCTTCTATTGTTGTGACTTAGATGACGTTCAGAGCACATTTTATACCCAATTCATGCAAAACTCCACGTAATCCCAAGGGGTTCACATACTTTTCTTGCAACTGTAGGTGTGAATTGGACCTAAGGAAATTTTAAGGTTTGTGTTTACAAATAATCTGTTAGTCATACTTACATCTCCCCTTTCATCTTCCCTGTCATGGCCACTATGATGCTGGTGCTGGTGATGGCTATATGTTGTGCGTCCATTAGAATATGTACGAACATTTGCTGGTAAGGAAAAGAAACAAACAAAACAAAAATAAGCTACAAACCTGTATCTCTAGAAAAAGGCAATGAGTATACCTAGGACTCGTTAGCTGTGACTGTCACCTTAATACAGTGTAGTCAGTAACCACTGTATGTACAGCGAATATAGCTAAGTTAACTTTCTGTAAATAAGCAGCATTATTCAAAGTCATTCATGTTCCAGTGTTGCCACTAGCCAGGAGCGGACTGACAACTCATGGGGCCCCTGTGTCCTTGCCCAAACTCAAAAAAACCTATGAAAGAGAGGTACAAGGGGCATCTCATGGGGCCCCCTACTGACCCTGGGTCCTCGGGCAGTGCCCGAGTTTCCAAATGGTCAGTCCACCCCTGCCACTAGCCTATAATGAAAAAGTGAACTTAATATGCTGGGCTCAGCTAATAAAAACACTATTGTATTTCAATGGCAAGCACACTTTTTTGCAGGCAAAAAAAAAAATTTGTGGGTGCAATGCAAGGCTTCTGCACATTCTCAGTAAGCTGTCTGTCCGTACCTCCTATACAGGCAGGCAGTTAGTGAATGGCAGGAAGAATCTATGAACTAGAAGCATGCTCACCAGCACCCTACACTTCATTAAGAACTACAAGCCTTCAGCCGCAATGGCTGACGGTACTTGTCTATTCATTCACAGAAAACTGTGAATTATCGATGCCGCCATGAGGGTGGAGCCCTGTATGGCCATGCCATTTTCAAATTGTGACAGGGGGTGTGAGAAGATTCCCTGCCCACTGTCACAGAGTGGGGAGCACTGGTGGAGGGTGCAGAGCAGCATGTTACAAGTTATACCCTATATATATGAGTGTAACATGTAAGATGCTCCTAAAGGTGAATTTACCCTTTAAAAATCAGTTTAAATTTAATTCTCTTATAAATGTCTGATAACCGAGAGGTCAATTTATCATTTTTTTTTTATTAGTGTGTACAAATTGCAATACTTCTAACAATGAAAAACTTCCCTCACACTTTCGGTTTGCAGAAATACATGAAGTGAAGTAAATCCACGTACCTAGGGGTTGAAAATTGTAACAACCATTTCTAACCAGTTCCTAGAGATTATTACTTAACCACTTCCAGTCCGGACACTTTTACCCCCTTCCTAACCAGGGCAATTTTCAGCTTTCAGCGCTATCACACTTTGAATGACAATTGCACGGTCATGCAACCCATATGAATTTTTTACCATTTTTTTGAGACAGATAAAACTTTATTTTGGTGGTAATTATTCACCATTGGGATTAAAAATTTTTTTGCTATGTAAATGAAAATGTGCAAAAATTTTGAAAAAAAAGTGTTTTTCTTATAAAATTTTGCAAAAATAATATTTCATCATAAATCTTGGCCACAATTTATTCCATTATCTTTTTAGTAAAGAAAAAAAAAAAAGCCAAATTAGTTTATAACCAAAAATTATAATTTTTAAACATTTTCTTTTACATTTTTATATATATATATATATATATATATATATATATATATATATATATATATATATTTATATATTTTTTTTTTATTTTTTTTTTTTACATACTGTCACCCTAGCAGTACAGTGTCACCATGACACCGTACTACTTTTGGGGGGTGATGAAGATTTTTTTTTTTTTTTCTTTGTACACCGATTGCTTTTACACCCATATAGGATGTAACAGCAATCATTTCTCTTTCTCTCTGTCTGCATTCTTGCAGCCATTGAGAACTACTGAGTGAGCTGTGATTGGTCACAGCTTGTCACATTGTACAAGGCTGTTGTGAATAGCCTTGTACCATGTGACCTCTGATCATTCACTGATTTCACACGTAGTAAGCAATTATGTCAGAAGTGACATCTTGCTTACTACTTTGCATGTGATCACCGATTGGCCAATCAGTGATCACATGATCAGGACCTCGTACACAGGTCCCGTCCGACGATCGGTGTTTCACTGTGTCTGGAGGACACAGCGGGCACCGGATCGCGGTGTGCGGGGAGGCTGTTTATAAACGGCCACCCGACCCTGCAGTGCCACCGTCCGGCCATTTATATACAACAGCCGGTTGGGAAGTGGTTAAAGCAGTTTGTGGCATGACACCACAGCAATTGAACAGTCCTACCTGAAGGAAAGCCTCCTCCAAAGAACATGTTAAACAGATCTTCAGGAGTTATATCTGCCTCGAATCCTCTGTGATAATCAAAACCACCATTTCTGTGGTTGGTATGCATGCGTTCCTCGCATCCAGACAGGTCATATTGCTTACGTTTCTCTGGATTGCTTAATACCGCATATGCATTTCCAATCTCTGTAATAGAGAACCAAGAACCAAAAATGAGACATTAGTACAAATTTCTGCATTTTCAGATACATGAGAAGAAGAAATGCACTTAGGAATACTCATTACAGTTTTTGAGGAGAGCACTGGAAGCGTAGGGCAAATGTATACTTAAGATTCTAAATGCGTTCCAAAGCAAACCATTTAATCATCGAGGAAAAGAAGAGTGCAACAAGTTTGCAAGTACAGATTTACAAGCTACTGTGGATATAAAAAGTCTACACACCCCTGTTAAAATGTCAGGTTTCTGCCATGTAAAAAAATTATGCAAAGATAAATCATTTCAAAACTTTTTCCAGCTTTAATGTGACCTATAAACTGTACAACTCAGTTGAACAACAAACTGAAATCTTTTAGGTGGAGGGAAGTAAAAATAAAAAAAAAAACTGAAATAATATGGTTGAAAAAGTGTGCACACCCTTAAACTAATACTTTGTTGAAGCACCTTTTGATTTTATTCCAGCACTCAGTGTTTTTAGGTATCAGTCTATCAGCATGGCACATCTTGACTTGGCAATACTTGCCCACTCTTCCTTGCAAAAACACTCCAAATCTGTCAGATTGTGAGGGCATCTCCTTTGCACAGCCCTCTTCAGATCATCCCACAGATTTTTGATCGGATTCAGGTCTGGGCTCTGGCTGGTACATACCAAAACTTTCATCTTCTTCTGGTGAAGTCATTCCTTTGTTGATTTGGATGTATGCTTTGGGTTGTTGTCATGCTGAAAGATGAAGTTCCTCTTCATGTTCAGCTTTCTAGCAGAAGCCTGAAGGTTTTGTGCCAATATTGACTGGTATTTGGAACTATTCATAATTCCTTCTACCTTGACTAAGGCCCCAGTTCCAGCTGAAGAAAAACAGCCCCAAAGCAAGACCACCACCTTGCTTCACTATGGGTATGGTGTTCTTTTGGTGATGTGCAGTGTTGTTTTTGTGCCAAACATAGCTTTCGGAATTATGGCCAAAAAGTTCAACCTTGGTTTCATCAGACCAGAACACATTTTTCCACATGCTTCAGATGTGTTTTTGCAAAATTTAGCCGGGCTTGGATGTTTTTCTTTGTAAGAAAACGCTTCCGGTTTGCCACTCTACCCCATAGCCCAGACATATGAAGCATATGGGAGATTGTTGTCACATGTACCACACAGTCAGTACTTTTCAGATATTCCTGCAGCTCCTTTAATGTTTCTGTAGGCCTCTTGGCAGCCTCCCAGACCAGTTTTCTTCTCATTTTTTTTTATCAATTTTGGAGGGACATCCAGTTCTTGGTAATGTCACTGTTGCGCCATATTTTCTTCACTTGATGACCGTCTTCACTGTGTACCATGGTATATCTAATGCTTTGGAAATTCTTTTGTACCCTTCTCCTGACTGATACCTTTTAACAATGAGATCCCTCTGATGCTTTGGAAGCTCTCTGCGGACCATGGCTTTTGCTGTAGGATGTGACTAATAAAATATCAGGAAAGACCTACTAAAACAGCTGAACATTATTTGGGGTTAATCAGAGGCACTTTAAAATGATGTCAGGTATGTACTGACTCCTATTTAACACGATTTTGAATGTGATTGCTTAATTCTGAAACAAAGCTACATTCCCAGTTATAGGAGGGTGTGTACACTTATGTAACTACATTATTTTAGTTTTTTGTGTGTACTTCCCTCCCAAAAGCTTTCAGTTTGTTTTTCAACTGAGTTGTACAGTTTATAGGTCACATTAAAGGTGGAAAAAGTTCTGAAATTATTTATCTTTGTCTCATTTGTTTACATCACAGAATCCTGACATTTTAACAAGGGTGTGTAGACTTTTTATATCCACTGTATATGGCCCCAAACCTTTAAACCAAAGCCTAATTAACAGCTTTGGTTTAGAAGATACAGGTGGTCACTGATAGCTAAACATTTGAGTAGTATGAAGAATTAGTTGTTAGTGCTGTTAAAACTTTGTGATCTTAAGGATGGCGTGTGGATTTCTTTATAATGACTCAACACACAGCGTAGGGTAAGCGCTGTACACAGAGGAATAAAAACTAAGCATGTGGCCATAAGGCACTAGGAGTGCATTGAGCTAGAAAGGTAAACAAATACAAGCACTTAGCAAAAGCAGTTGCTTAGAACTGAAATGAACATCAGCTGTAGCATCTGTTCATGTAAGCACTGCAGCCCATGTTGTGAATGTCTCACTCAATCAGGCCTGGGGCAGCATGGAGTCCTGGTTCACACCAAATTTCAGTGATGTGATCAGGTCCCATTTAATGTACAACTTTAAAGTAGCCCTGATATAGAGACAGGTGCAATTTCAGTGCCATTTACTTTATACGTAGTCTATGAGAGTTAAATTGCACTGAAGTGGTGAAAAAATAATGCAGGAACTATTTTTCAAATTGCGCTACTTGAAAATTGCACCTATTAAGACAGTGCCATAGAAATACATTAAATGCGACTTAAGGTGCGATTTGTAAATTGCATGTCACACCTGAAGTTGCAGCAGTGTGAACCAGGGTTAAAGTTTTGGGCTCACATGGGTCCTCAAAGTACTTGTGTACAATAAGCAGACTGATTACCTGATGAAACTCCTGTTTGCTCTCCTGTACAAGCAGAACAAGGGACTCAAGCCTAGACCAAGAGAAAAGTGCAGAAGGAACTCTTCCCACATCACCAACTCATACATTTTACCTTCGTGATCATTTGTGAAAATTGGACTTCTCAGTTTTTAGAGAGTATAGCCTGATAATGCAAGTATAAATAAATAGTTTTTGAACCCACAGTTGGTGCCATCAATGTAAATGTGCATATATAATGGAAGCCTACTAAGGGTGGCAGGTATAGGACCGCATTCCCAAGTCAATACCTAAATTACATTTGCTGCTCCAAACACTAGTGCCCAATATGTTTGATGTCCTACTCTACAGGACAATTATTGGTCATTCAGCAAGGCACTGAGGAGAGCAACTGAGAGCTGTAGAATACAGTGGCATACAACTAATCAATCCTATCTTTGAAAGTTCCATTATCACACAAATAAATTTCTATACTTTTGCAGTATTGGTCAATATAGCAATGCTAGTATTGAATATACGCATTGCATTTTTTTATTCCATTTAACATGTCTTCATAATTTTATTTCTACATTAACACACAGAAAAGGCTGTCCAGCAAAGATGACAATCTACAGTATAAAAAACCAGGGGCTCTTACAAGAGTCATCTTTTAGGATTCATTTCCATGGGTACATAAACCTATACCTCTGTGCAGAGGGTTGCATTTATGTGCCTGGGGAATGACAGGTATTCCGTGCGTTAATGTGCAGCCAGCCTATCAAAATCAATGAAATCAACGACAGCCTGACAAATGCAGTAGCTGTATGGATCTTCCTGCACATGCCAATGTTTACATCTGTACTGGCACAGATACACAATTCTGTATGCAGATCATTTCTGCACGGAGGTAAAGGTCTCTGTGCTCATGTAAATAAGCCCAACTGAGGACAGCTAAACAAAGAAAAAAAAATCCTGATACATGCATTCACAGAATATTTTTGGTTGTAGAAAAACTGTAACTGAAGTCAGTATATCCTACATAACACGTTTTTGGGGTGAATCTTACTAATAGGTACACAGACAGCAGTAAAAGAGCATGTCTAACCCTTCCCCAGTGTCCAAAACAAAAAGAAAAAAAAAAGGTTCTGGCTAGAGGGACTTCTTTATTCCCAACTGACTACTTTGAGTCTAACTACATAGAAAAGCAAGGAAGACTGCAATATACTGTATGCTGCCAACTTATATTCTAGTCCTGCACTCGTTTTAAAAAGGTTTTCTCCCCCGTCCTGCAACCTATACTACCTTACCTATGAAAAAAAGCTGAAATTACTTACCTGCTTTAGTCTGCTCTGGTCATGTAATCATCTGTGTGACAGCAGCAGGAGAGAGGAGGGAATGCTTAACAGCAGCTGGGAATTTTGGGAGTCTGTGACATCACTCATAGGCTCCCATGTCACAGCTGTCGGCACTCCCTCTTCTCCCTTGCAGCCACCACTGACTGACGCAGGCGAGCCAGAGCTGCCGATCACGTAACTGGACAATAGGCAAGTATAAGCACTTTTTTCTTTTTCTTTTTTTTAACCTAGGTTAGGCAGTATAAGTAGCAGGAGGGGGAGGTATTTTTTTTTAATGCTAAGTCAGTTATAGATGGTTTGCATCTCGGCTGGTTCAGTAGAGACCAGCCGAGATTCGAACCATCTATTGGCAAGCTGCTTGTACCCAATTCAGTTGTTGTACAACCTGGGTACAAGCAGCCTGCTGCCAGCAGCTATATCCACAAGCAATAATCACTGTGTTCTCCCGGCAGGGATGGCTCCGCCCTTCCAGGAGAACACAATAGCTCCAAGGCAAGGATTCCCCCATCAACACTGTGTTGATGGTGAAATCGATTTTCTTTCCTGCAACCAAAGAAAATCACATAGTCTATGGCCTGCCTTAGGCTGGAATTCTACTTTAATGGAGTCAGGGTCTGAGAATACCCCAGTCAAATCTGCATTATTTACACTGATACACAAGGCACCATTTAACCACTTGCCCTCCTGAGGATTTACCCCCCTTAATGACCAGGCCTCTTTTAGCTACTCGGCGCTGCACTAATTCAACTGATAATTGCGCGGTCATGCAATGCTGCACCTAAACGAAATTTACGTCCTTTTTTTCACACAAATAGAGCTTTCTTTTGGTGGTATTTGATCACCTGTGCACTTTTTACTTTTCACGCTATAAACAAAAAAAAGACCGAAAATTTTGAAGAAAAACTATATTTTTTACTTTCAGCTATAAAAAATATATAGTAAAACTCAAAGTTAGTTATAAATTTAGGCCAAAATGTATTCTGCTGCATGTTTTTGGTAAAAAAAAATCCCAATGAGTGTATATTGATTGCTTTGTGTGGAAGTTATAGCATCTACAAACTATGGTATAGATACTGCAATTTACGCCATTTTTTTGCTATACAGCTCTGCGCTAGTTTAACTGACAATTGCGTGGTCATGCAATACGGTACATAAATGTACACAAATAGAGCTGTCTTTCGGTGGTATTTGATTGCCTGTGCGTTATTTTTTGCGCTATAAAAAAAAAAAAAAAAAAAAAAAAAAAAAGGCTGACAATTTTGAGAAAAAAAAACAACAATATTTTGGACTTTTTGCTATAAAACATGTCCAGTAAAAAAAATGTAAAGCAAATTTCATCATAAATTTCAGCCAAAATGCATTCTGCGACATGTCTTTGCTAAAAAACAAAAATACGTGTAAATTAAATTGGTTTACGTGAAAGTTATAGCGTTTACAAATGGCAGGAAAGATACTAGGATTTTAAATTTTAAAATGGCGGCGATCAGCGACTTATGGCGGCGTTCAGCGACTTATGGCGGGATGGTGGGACTGCGGCGGACATTCTGACACTGGGGGGGAACTGACGTGGGGTCACTGACATCCCCAGTGACACCAATACAGTGATCAGTGCAAAAAAAAAAAAAAAAAACAAAAAAAACACTGACACTGTACTAATGGCACTGGGGAGGAAGGGGATAACTTTTTTATTTACTGAAAGGGTTAACTGTGTGAGGGGAGTGTTTTACTAGGGAGTGGGGGGGTGTACTGCATGGGGGACACGCTGATCGGGAGAGATAAACTCTTCTCTACGGCTCAGCATGTCAGGAGCTGACAGGGAACTGACAGAAAGCAGAGCTACTGCAGCCGTGCTCTCTAACAGTGATTGCCACTAAGCGGCGGGACACAGCCGGTAACGACCTGGCCGTGACCCGGCGACTGACATCCGCAGCCGTGATCGGCGGGACAGGTAGGGCGGTGGCGCGCCTCGCGCGCATGCCCCCTACCTGTTTTGCAAACACGTGTTTTAAAACGTGGTTTTGCCCAGCTGTGCCGCCCTGCTGCCGTATTTCTACAGTGGCTGGGCGGCATGAGGTTAAATTACATTTGCTCGAAACAGTTTTTAGTTTGTGGCACCAAAGGCTATGCTATGTAGTCACTAGTTTTGTACACAAGATCACGTAATCATGTTTTGTGAACATAGGGGGACATTTACTAAAACTTGTGCACTCAGAATCTGGTGCAGCTGTGCATGGTAGCCAATCATCTTCTAACTTCAGCCAATTTAGCTTTGGCAAACAAAACCTGACAGCTGATTGGTTTCTATGCAGAGCTGCACCATATTGTGCACTCTCCATTTTTAGTAAATAACCCCCACAGCATCCATATTTTTACTGTAAGAAGATCATTTTTCCTGACTTCGATTCTGATTTTTATATAGACTAGCCTTATGCAGAAGAATTAACAGGAAAGAATGTGTTTGTGAGGGTTACTTCTGGGAAGCATACCATTTGGAAATGTTGATAAACCTACATTTTTAGTAAACCAGAGTCTCGGTTTCAGTGGCAATTTCATGGCAAATCTATAGAATGGAAATCTCAAATGTAGACTACAATGAGCATGTAAATATGTAAGCTATTTAATAGGTGTCAAACATACAACATGAGAGCAGATTTCTAATATAGTAGTGTTGAATAGAAACCGCGAATGTTAAAATGACGTGACGTGGGACTATTATGCAGCAAAAGTAACAATGAAAACCAATTAAATAGGGTTGTATACAACCCATGATAAATTCCACTTCAAGTCCTTGAAAAGCCTTTCCCCCCACAACAGCATAAAAAGTTATTTTCAGATTGTGCTGTGAGGGAGAATTTGATGCTTTTACAGAAGTCCTGCATTGCAGGCCTCGAGGGAAGGTGATCATGTGACCACAGCACACTGCTATACATGGTATACAAACAGACTAGAAAAAAAAATACACTTACTTTTAAAAGCTTCTGTAGCCCCAGGCGCATGGTTTTTATCTGGATGAAATTTTAGTGCAAGTTTTCGGTAGGCTTTCTTTAGGTCTTCTTCTCCAGCATCAGTACTTACACCCAGAACTTCGTAATAGGTTTTACAGCTCTTTATCCTGCAAAAAATGACACTAGTATGGTAAAAATCACTGGCCAGTGGGCCAAAGTCTGTTTACGCACTGACTGCCACTAATTCTGCGGCTGCAAATCAAGTACAAGTCATTTACAACAGACTTTTTAAAAATAGGTTTGTATTTCTTAAATATATATTTGTATCCTGAGGCTCCATTCACATCTAGCCATTTTGTATCGCAGGCAGAACTGCCGCAATTCTGCCCGTGATCCCAAAATGCTCTGAAAAACTGACAAATCACACGGCTCTTGTTCAGGTGCTATTCATTTTCAATGGCACCTAAAATGCAGTGTGATTCTGCTGCGATTGTCGCATGGTAAATCACATTGCAATCGCGTAACCCGCAGCGCCTGAAGCTTGTGGCACCAAAAGAAGCTCCTGCTCCTTTTTGGGTGACAAGTTTTGCACAATACAGTTTGCAGCGATTTATTGTGGCAGAAACGCACCGTGTTTTAGGTGCCATTGAAAAAGAATGGAACCTGAACAAGCGTAGAGAGATTTGTCAGTTTTGGGATTGTGGATAGAATTGTGGTGATTCTGCCCAAAATACAAAATGCCTAGATGTGAATGGAGACTGAAGCATAACTTAAAAATACATTTTTTTTTTTTTTTTTTTTTTTAAGATTTAGAGTGATGAGGGGTTAGAATCATTGTCATGGTTTTTTTTTAAAATTGCTGTCTGTGTCCCCGTTGGAAAGATTAACTCTCTGCAATTGTCCTGATCACCAACGTCACCAGGAATGAAAGAGTATAAATCCAAAATTGAGTCGTCACCAGAGGAGGAATAGAGTAGAACGTTTCCCATGTGGACACTTGTTCCTGTGGCAACTGTCTCAGAGGACATCTTTCACATTGAAAATATATCACTTCACTTTCTGTCAAGTCTTTAGGACAGGAAGTGAAGGGAAATCTCCCTAATGAGACAGATGGCAAAACAAGAACAACAGCAAGGAAAGCACAAGCCTTCAACTGAGATGAAGGAGAAATGAAAAACCAAAAAAAAAAAAAAAAAAAAAAAAAAAGGGGGTGGGTGGAGAAACACACCGTAATGCAATAAAATTGTGCATGCAGAAACGCATCTGGAACACAGAAATTGTGGTGTGAATTGGCCCCAAATCAGTGTGCTTATGTCTAATAAAGGCCGTAAACATATTGGTCAGATTGCAGGTTTACCTCTGTATTCTTACTGCAACTAGCAACTATTGTTAGGTATTTAATTAACCATTTTTATGACTTAACTGATGTTTGCAGGGCTGAATCAAAGTTGAAAGCAACTGAATGGATTGGAAAATACCGTTCTTTTTAAGGCAGTTGCAATATGTAATATTCAATCAATCTACTCTGAAATGATCACTTTTTGTTTACATATATTAGACTCACACAAATTTACCGTTTATGTTCCACTGAATGACTGCTTTAGTTATTAAAGTGTTACTAATCCCACAACAGTAAAATCAGCCTGTATATGCAGTAAAGCATGCTTGTTATACCCACTGTGGTGGAACCTGAGGGGTTAATCCTCTGCATTGTGTAAAAAGGCCATTTGAGCCTGTCTTCTCTACTCCTCCTCTTGTTCAGATGTCCATGTCTTATCTCCTGATAAGACAGACTGAACCATAGGCATTCTGCGCATGCTCAGTTTGGTGTGTATTGCTAGTGGGTTTTTTTTTTTTCCTTTCTTGGGAGAGTGCATGTGATCAGTGCAGGGCCAATCAGCACTGTCCAGACATAGGTCAGGGGTTCTGCATCCTCCTAGAGCAGAAAGAAAACTCCTCCTACAAGCTTTAACCAGTGCTCTGCTGAACACTGATAGAAGTCCCAAGATTGCTTTAACTGCTGATGAGAAAAGGTATTTCGCAGTTTATATTAACTAAAATATAGTAAATATCCTCTGGAACGCTCTACCCCAGTTTATAAGACTATCGCCTACTCTGCTCACTTTTTAGGCGATCTGTGAAAACCTCTTTTCAGCGAAGCCTAACCTGCTCTCAGCTAATAATGGAATCTTCTATTCCTCCTACCAGTCCATCCCCTACAGTTATTACCTTTTGTACCACTAGCCCCTCCCTCTTAGATTGTAAACTCCGAGAAGCAGGGCCCTCCTAATCTAGTATTGAACTGTATTGTTGCTGTATTGTCTCCCATTATATTGTAAAGAGCTGAGCAAACTGTTGGTGCTATATAAATCCTGTATAATAATAATAATATTAATAAAATAATTGCATTTACATGTTCTGTGTACTCTGGGAAACCAGATGGAGTGAATGCAGGGTCCTGGGTTTAGTAGCACTTTAGGATTATCAAATTGAAAAGGTCATTGCGTGATAAAACGTGCCTGTAAGAGCAATATAAAATGTTACTCAAAGAAATGACCTTTTTCACAAGTCTGGCAAGCACTGTAATTCTATAAGCAATAATTATGCTTACAAGTAGAGAGTTATAATAAATATGTACTGTGGACACTTGGTTTATTCTAAAGTGAGCCTGAACTCAAATACTGAATACTTGCTATGCTATAGGGAACGATAGGAATGATTTGGAATGTTAATTGTGCCTTGGTTCCTGAAAATTCTACCTCTTGTTTTGAATTCCTTCTGAAAAGTAGCAGTGCACTTCCTGGTATGTGAGGCTCTCCTGGGCCCACAGCCTGATCATTGTACTGTGTATCTGCAGTGTGAGATCATCTAAGCCACTTATACTTCTCACTGTAAAGCCTCGTACACAATGAGAATATCACACGAATGATTGTCTTTTCTTTTTTTTGCATGCTAGTCTCGTATTAAAAAAAATGGGTACTAAAGTTGTGAAAATGCTCATAAGACAGAATACAACTTCAGAAGTGATGTAATGTATTGTATTATATTCTTTCATTTTCGAACATGTGAGGTCTTGGTCACTTGATTATTTACGGACGAATACTATAATGGCTAAACTAAAATTGTTTGTACAGTTATCGTACAAGGAAAAATTTTCATGGTTGTCCCTTCAGATATGTTTGCATGAAGTGTCGTGATCAACTTTCCAAAGCTGTGTACGAATGATCAGATGATCGGACAATCGTTCAGTAAGCGGTATTTTTCAATCAATACTCCCATCAGGAGATTTGGAGGGAGATTAAGTGATGTCAATACTGTGCCGCATTGGCATTTCGGCGATCCTGCCAGACCACACACCAGCCACTGGTTATCTGACACAGTGTTTAGAAACAATGTTCAGAAGTGGGAAAGAGAGGTATAAAGTAAAATTGTTACTTTTGATCTGCATATAATGTCAGTTGAAACAACCTAACAAACAAAAAAATATGCTGTAAATCAAAATTTACCCCGTATTAATGGGATAAGTTCTCCTTTCCACAAGAAATAATAAATGCACATTTTTTTGTAGGAAAAAAAATGTGCATTGATTGCATTAGGAGCCTGTAAAGCATTGCACGAGCGATCAGCAGATCGCTGGTGCCATGCAGGTCTCCTGCACACGGTCAGTGTATCTGCTTGCTTGTACATCCCATACGGGCAAGCTGATACTTGCTGCAGGGATGAGCAAATCCTATCGTTCAACGCCCGGGATATGTAGTTTCGGGTGCCGGGCAGGTTGTTCTTTCTTACATTTAGCCCTGCTGCGGGCAAGCAGCAGGGCTTGCTTAAGAAGTGATTAGTAAACTCAGGAGCAGACAGGCTGCAGCTGTGCATACTCAGTGTCTGTGACACTCAGACAGCACACTCCACCCCCCCCCCCCCCCCCGTATAGACGGGAGAGGAGAGAACGTATTGATCCACCTCTTCGCGCCCCTCTCCTCTGTGACTGCCCCGTGGGTGGGAAAATTTGAAGATCTATCCCGCTGTATGATTGCCAATGTTTGAGCCTGCAGAGAGCAGCCGGGAATGAGTGATCTCTGCTCTATCACTGAGATTTCCCCACCTCCGTCCCTTCTCTCCTTTTCTATCTCCCCCTTCAATTCTTCTATCTTCACTTAACTATTTCATGTCCAGTTATCAGCTGAACTTTGAGGAAAAAGGGGGCACTCCGCTGGACACTGACGTAAGGGGGGGACTCCGCTGGACACTGACGTAAGGGGGGGGACTCCGCTGGACACTGACGTAAGGGGGGGGACTCCGCTGGACACTGACGTAAGGGGGGGGACTCCGCTGGACACTGACGTAAGGGGGGGGACTCCGCTGGACACTGACGTAAGGGGGGGGACTCCGCTGGACACTGACGTAAGGGGGGGACTCCGCTGGACACTGACGTAAGGGGGGGACTCCGCTGGACACTGACGTAAGGGGGGGACTCCGCTGGACACTGACGTAAGGGGGGACCCTGATGTATAGGGGTAAAGATGGGGGCTTTGATGCAAGGGGGGAATCAGATGTGAACAGGTGCTCTTCATGACTGCTGCACTCTATATATGTTTTGTTTTTTTTTACTTACTCCTGGCTCCTGCACACTATACATCAGTGGTACTCAAATTATGGCCCGCGGGCCACATGCGGCCCGCTGAAGACATTTATCCGGCCCGCCAGCAGCCCCCTGCCCGCCCCTGTACTTAGTGTCCCTTCCTCACGTATTTGCCGCGAGGAAGGGACACCAAGTACAGGGGCGGGCAGGGGGCTGCTGTATTTTACCTGGCTCCGTGTCCCAGTCCCACGACGATCCAGTCCAGGAAGCGCTGCTCCTTCATTCACTCTGGCTACTCCCTCACTGGATGTTCGCGCTGCCGCTCAGCTCCGCCTCCTCACCGGTGATTGGGCGCCAGAACTGTAGCTCAGGAAAGGCACACAGGCGGCCAATCACCTGCGAGGAGGCGGGGCTGAGCGGCCCCGCGAACATCGAGTGAGGGAGAGGCCGGAGTGAAGGACAGCTGACAGGTATGTGTGCCGTGCAGATGGTGCTGCTACGATCAGGTATGCTGGCTGCAGCAGAACCATGCTGGAACAGAGGTCAGCAAGTTAAGTGTCATTGGTGTCAGTGGGAGGAATAGTGCCCCATCATTGGTGTCACTGATACTAATGATGGGGCACTATTCCTCCCCCCCACCGACACCAACGATGGGGCACTATTCCTCCCCCCACCGACACCAACGATGGGGCACTATTCCTCCCCCCACCGACACCAACGATGGGGCACTATTCCTCCCCCCACCGACACCAACGATGGGGCACTATTCCTCCCCCCACCGACACCAACGATGGGGCACTATTCCTCCCCCCACCGACACCAACGATGGGGCACTATTCCTCCCCCCACTGACACCATGGATGGAACACTATTCCTTCCCCCAATGACACCAATGTGGGACACTATCATCCCCCCCCCCACTGACACCAATGTTGGGACACTATCCCCCCCCCCACTGACACCAATGTTGGGACACTATCCCCCCCCCCACTGACACCAATGTTGGGACACTATCCCCCCCCACTGACACCAATGACGGGGCACTATTCCCCCCCACTGACACCAATGACGGGACACTATTCCTCCCACTGACACCAATGATGGGACACTATTCCTCCCACTGACACCAATGTTGGGACACTATTCCTCCCACTGACACCAATGTTGGGACACTATTCCTCCCACTGACACCAATGTTGGGACACTATTCCTCCCACTGACACCAATGTTGGGACATGATTCCCCCCCCACACTGACACCAACGATGGGGCACTATTCCTCCCCCCACTGACACCAACCATGGGGCACTATTCCTCCCCCCACTGACACCAACGATGGGGGCACTATTCCTCCCCCCACTGACACTAATGAAGGGGTACTATTCCTCCCACTGATACCAATGATGGGGTACTATTCCTCCCACTGACACCAATGATGGGGCACTATTCTTCCCACTGACACCAATGATGGGGCACTATTCCTCCCACTGACACCAATGATGGGGCACGATTCCTCCCACTAACACCAATGATGGGGCACGATTCCTCCCACTGACACCAATGATGGGGCACGACTCTTCCCATTGACACCAATGATGGGGCACTATTCCTCCACAAGACACACTTGGGGGGAAATGTCTGTGCGTCTTATGGAGCGGCCAGCCCAGTATTCCCGACGCCATTGTATGTCCGCAGTCTCTGGTCATGTCCTGTACTGTGTCCGCATTTGTTCATATTTTTTTTTTTTTTTTTTTGTTAAACTATAGTCCGGCTCTCCAACGGTCTGAGGGACAATGAACTGGCCCCCCATTTAAAAAGTTTGAGGACCCCTGCTGTACGTTATGCTGTACATAGACCTGACTAAGATGTTGATTGTCCTAACAATTGCGGGCTTTAATGAAATTCTTCTTTAAGGATCATTATGGCAGTCCATACATTAGTCATATTCTTCAATCAGTGGGTTGAACGGAGAAACGAAACGAAAAAAAAAAAAAAAAAAAAAAAAACCATGATCCAAGCCTGGTGGACACTGGATCTTGATTTGGCTGCTCAGCATGTGCTTGTACTGAGCACCCAAGTGCTTCCATGTGCAAGGTTTTTTTTTCCCCTCTTTGGGTCCGGTGCCTCATTTACTTGATCAGTAGATGCGTTTCTGCTGAGCGTTAAGAGAAACGGATACTCCCTCTTCCTGACGAGTACCCAATCGGTGCTCCTTACACTGCAAGGTCACTCCCATCCCTGCTGGTCCCCAAATGCGGTGCTGGAGACATGCAGGGAGGTGAGTAGGACACAAACAGTGCAATGTTAAAAATATTAAAAATTTAGGTCGCCATAAAGCCCCTTTTGTTTTAAAAAGTCCCAGATATTCCTAATATCACCTCCCCATATCACCGCCTAATAAAAAAACATCAACCCTTCATATTTTTCATTCTGGCAAAAGTCATTTCCTGGTTTAAAAAGAGACATACATCCATTGAAAATCCCTAGTGATAAAACGGTCTCATTCAGTAACAGCATAACAATAAAGACCTTATTTAAATACGGTTTTGGTTAAAATTACAATTTTTTTTATCAGGACAAGCACATTGTCATAAAGGGCCAAGTAATTTGAGACCCCAATTTAATCCCTGGACAAGTAGTTTTTTAAAAAAAAAAAAAAATGTCCACATCCCTGTTGCTGACAGGAAGACTCAATGATCTACCACAGTGCTCACAGCGCAATGGCAGCTTATGGAGGACTACAAGCCGACAGCCACTAAGCCACCAGGACTTGTAGTCCATTCATTCACAGAACACTGTGAATGAATGACACGGTCGTGTGTGCGGAGCCCCACATGGCCGCATCGTTTCTGAAAACTGACAGCTAGTATGGGGAACTTCTCCCTGTACTTCTGTCACAGGGAAGGGGGGCAGGGGGTGGCGGCTGCAGGATCGATAACATGTTCCACCCTTAAAACAGGTGGAACATGTAACATGTTCCCAAAAGTGAACTTATCCTTTAATTCTTCGTTTACCCCAATTCCTTCTTCCCCCCAGGGTTTCGTTAGCAATGCATTTTAAGATTTAAAAAAAAAAAAAAAAAAAAAAAAAAAAAAAAAAAAAAAAAACTTTATTTCATTTGTAAATACCTTTGCAGTGCAATACTGTACCATATCCTTGTATTTTTAACTGCATTTTTATCTATGGAAGGCATAACAAATAAAATTGATTTTGCAAGGCAATAATACCATAGAAAGCATTGCTTGTCCTAAAAAAATACATTGATATTACTTTGTTACCTTAAGGGCTCGTTCACACTTGACTTTTTCCAACTCTTGCCAAACGCCCCTATAGCGTTTGAAAAGCGTTGGTCCAGTGTTTGCGGAGCGTTTTTAACGCTCCACAAACGCCACATGCACGGTTCAGCGGTGGTTGCTAGGCATTTGCCGAGCGTTAAAAACGTCCCCCATAATGAAGTTTGAATGGTGTTAACGCTCCGAAAACACCCGACAACCGCACCGCAAACGCTGGCCGGGTGTTTGCGGAGCGGCACCATAGACTTGAATAGGAGGCTTCAACTCCTTCTGACACGACCAGAGGCGTCCGTTTTGCCGTGACGCAATGCGACACTACCGCTCCCATTTGAACAGCACTATGTGCAGAATTTTCCCAGGCCTTTGGGAAACGGTAAACACGCTTCCCAAACGCCTGTCTGCCGCTTGCTAACAAGGCTAGTGTGAATGTAGCCTAAGTATTAGCAAAGGTATTGCTGAATAAAGAGACAGCAGAAATGTAAAAATTGCTTTGGTCCTTAAGCAGTGTACAGGTGTAAGAACCATATAAAAACAGACATATGACTAGATTTTAGACAAAAACAAAAAACCGCCAGCAAAACAGATCAATTTTTCTGGCAACATTCATTGTCAGAAGATCTTTTGCAGAAATGATCATTTCTCTGATCTTAGACAAAGGAGTGTTTGACTTAGAAGAGCACATTTCTCTAGGCTGCGAACGAATGACTAGGGTTGCTGAAGGAGAACATCTATCTCATAGTAGAATGTTTATGTTTCATAGGAAAGGCCCTAACCTTGGGCTTTCTGTGATCAGGGTGCTCATTATTATTTAAATTGGGTCTTCTCTAAACCCTTGCTCACATCTAAGCCTGGAAATCTACTGAAGAAGGACATAAAGAAAACATCCCCAGATATATGCATAGGCTATTGCAAGTGATTACAGAAGAAACCAATGTCACGCAGATTATGCAACCCTTACAACAGTATTGCAATTGCCAATACCCAAAAGGAAAGAGAGACTTCAACAATTCTTTGCTGCCACAGAAAGATCCATTTATTAAAGATCATTATGTATTCAAAAAGGAACAATCAAAAAGTAGACCAGTACAGCTACAATTGAGGCCCACAGAAATGAGCTAACATACCTTTAAATTATATGTAATTCTAACAGTTTAACAAAGGAAGGACAGTCATTGAAATAATATTAACCATTTTACTGCCACTGACATATATCTCATGTTAGTGGCGGGGGAAGGGGGGGGGATTTTAAACACTCAGCTGCTGTAATGCACGTACAGTATTTTTTACAAATCAACTGTCAGCTTTCTTATGAAAGCAATCAGGAACCTGTACAGCCCTCCGATTGCTTTCAGTGACCCCTGGAAGTTTGCCCTAATAGACCCGATGCCACAAAGACATTAGATCACATAGGGGACTTTTGTTCCCCTATGTCAGTGATGGCGAACCTTTTTGAGCCCGAGTGCCCAAACTGCAACCCAAAACCAACTTATTTCTTTCAAAGTGCCAACACTGCAATGAAACCTGAATATCGAGCTTTTGGTTTAGAAAAAACAACTCGTACAGTAGTGCAAACTAATTAACAGTACAGGGATGACCAGAGACTGCGGACACAGTACAGGGATGACCAGAGACTGCGGACAGTACAGGGATGACCAGAGACTGCGGACAGTACAGGGATGACCAGAGACTGCGGACAGTACAGGGATGACCAGAGACTGCGGACACAGTACAGGGATGACCAGAGACTGCGGACACAGTACAGGGATGACCAGAGACTGCGGACACAGTACAGGGATGACCAGAGACTGCGGACAGTACAGGGATGACCAGAGACTGCGGACAGTACAGGGATGACCAGAGACTGCGGACAGTACAGGGATGACCAGAGACTGCGGACACAGTACAGGGATAACCAGAGACTGCGGACACAGTACAGGGATGACCAGAGACTGCGGACATAGTACAGGAGATGACCAGAGACTGCGGACACAGTACAGGAGATGACCAGAGACTGCGGACACAGTACAGGAGATGACCAGAGACTGCGGACAGTACAGGGATGACCAGAGACTGCGGAAAGTACAGGGGGATGACCAGAGACTGCGGACAGCACAGGGATGACCAGAGACTGCAGACAGTACAGAGATGACTGCTGACCTTTGGGGAGGGAGGGGGAGCGGGTACCTGAATTTGACAGGTACCCGCTCTTACTTCCGCAGTTTTTTTTTTTTTTTTTGTATCTTACCTGTTCCTCTATCCAGCCGCGCGCTGTCTTCCCGGCTTCTGTAGTGTGGGCGCTCATCGGACAGCCGGATGCCCAGTGCGCATGCGCGAGAAGTGCTGCGCTTTGTGATTGGTCCGGCGGCTTCTGGGATCTGTCATGTGTCCCAGGTACCGCCTTACCATTCACAAAGAGCACTGCTTCTTGTGCATGCGCACTTGGGACCCGGCTGTCGCGCACACTACAGCCGGGAAGACAGCGCGCCGCTGGATTCTCCTGGCATGCCCACAGATAAGGCTCGGCGTACCGGCTGTGGCACGCGTGCCACGGGTTCGCCATCACTGCCCTATGTGATATACACTGACCAGCCATAACATTATGACCACTGACAGGTAAAGTGAATAACTTTGGTTATCTTGTTACAATGGCACCTGAAAGTTGGTTGGATATATTAGATAGCAATTGGACGTGTTGTCCCTAAGTTGATGTGTTTAAAGCAGAAAAAAAATGGGTAAGTGTAAAGATTTGATCGACTCTGACAAGGGCCAAATTGTACTGGCCTGACGACGGAGTCAGAGCAGCTCCAAAACTGCAGCTCTTGTAGGATGTTCCCAGTCTACAGTGGTCAGGATCTACCAAAAAATAGTGCAAAGAATAAAAACCAGTGAACCAGCAACAGGGTCATGAGCGGCCAAGGCTCAATGATGCACATGGGGAGTAAAGGCTGGCCTGTGAAGTCCAATCCAAGAGAGTTACTGTAGATCAAATTGCTGAAAAAGTTAATATTGGTTCCAATAGAAAGGTGTCAGGACACACAGTGCATCGAAATTTGTTGTGTATGGGCCTGCATTGCCAAAGACCTGTCAGCATGCCCATGATGACCTGCGTCCACAGCCAAAAGCACCTGCAATGGGCACGGGAGCATCAGAACTGGACCACTGAGCAATTGAAGAAGGTGGCCTGGTCTCATGAATTCAACAATGGTTTGAGGAAGTTCAAGGTGTTAACTTGGCCTCCAAATTCTCCAGATCTCAGTCCAAACAAGTATCTATGGGATATGCTGAAAAAAAAATTCAGATCCATGGAAGCCCCACCTCACAACTTACAGGACTTAAAGGAAATGCAACTGACGGCTTGGTGCCCGATACCACAGCATACCTTCAGAAGTCTAGTGGAGTCCATGCCTTGATTTGTTATTGTGGGTGTCATAATGTTATAGCTGATTAGAGTCCATAAAGTTTAACATGTGGATGCTGCCCTGTACTGACATGCATGGAGGAAAACACACTGAAGGCAAACAGCTGCTCCTCTTCCAAGGAGAGCAGAGGCAGGCCCTACAATAAGACACATTTTATCAATGAATGGGTACGCTAATGCAATGAATCATGGGACATGTAGTTTAGGGTTTAGAACCATTTTAAAGCTGAACTCCAGGCAAACAGCTAAAGGCTCTAATGAAATGCATATATGAGAGCAGTTTTTCCTGCCTAAGGGATATATTGTTGTTCATCCAGTCCTGAGATTTACACAGCACAGTCCTGTCTGGCAAACCCGGGGACATGATTTTTCTCTGCTGCAGTTTCTTTTTTCACTTAAAGACCTCCTCCCCACCCCCTATCCTGTGACTGGGCATTAAAAGGAAAAGTCCTGCCTACGGGCAATGTTGAAGTTCAAGGTCCCTGATTACAAAAATTCCACAGCAACAGTTCCTCCTGGCCAAACGGGTCCATTGATTTTTCTCTGCTGCAGTATTCTTTTTTTCACTTAAAGAGCCCATCCTCCCCACCCCCTATCCTGCCCAATGACTGGGGTCCGATTAAAAGGCCCAAAAAGCACTCCCACCCACATCATAAATTAGCTCACCTCTGTTATTCCGCTCTACCCTTTTATTTGCTGGCTCCTTGCATTGCAGCGCAGCTGACTGGCTCCGTGCACTGCAGCGCAGCTCACTGGCTCCGTGCACTGCAGCGCAGCTCACTGGCTCCGTGCACTGCAGCGCAGCTCACTGGCTCCGTGCACTGCAGCGCAGCTCACTGGCTCCGTGCACTGCAGCGCAGCTCACTGGCTCCGTGCACTGCAGCGCAGCTCACTGGCTCCGTGCACTGCAGCGCAGCTCACTGGCTCCGTGCACTGCAGCGCAGCTCACTGGCTCCGTGCACTGCAGCGCAGCTCACTGGCTCCGTGCACCGCAGCTCACTGGCTCCGTGCACCGCAGCTCACTGGCTCCGTGCACCGCAGCTCACTGGCTCCGTGCACCGCAGCTCACTGGCTCCGTGCACCGCAGCTCACTGGCTCCGTGCACCGCAGCTCACTGGCTCCGTGCACCGCAGCTCACTGGCTCCGTGCACTCCGTGCACCGCAGCTCACTGGCTCCGTGCACCGCAGCTCACTGGCTCCGTGCACCGCAGCTCACTGGCTCCGTGCACCGCAGCTCACTGGCTCCGTGCACCGCAGCTCACTGGCTCCGTGCACCGCACTCACTGGCAGCTCACTGCAGCTCTGGCTCCGTGCACCGCAGCTCACTGGCTCCGTGCACCGCAGCTCACTGGCTCCGTGCACCGCAGCTCACTGGCTCCGTGCACCGCAGCTCACTGGCTCCTTGCACCGCAGCTCACTGGCTCTTGCACCGCAGCTCACTGGCTCCTTGCACCGCAGCTCACTGGCTCCTTGCACTGCAGCTCACTGGCTCCATATATATATTGTACATTCACATCGGTCCCTAACCCTCATGGGGTGTACAATCTAAGGTCCCTAACTCACATTCATACATACACATAGAAACTAGGACAATTTAGACAGGAGCCAATTAACCTACCAGCATGTCTTTGGAGTGTGGGAGGAAACCGGAGTACCCGGAGTAAACCCACGCAAGCACAGGGAGAACATGCAAACTCCATGCAGGAGGCCCCATGGTCGGGAATCGAACCCATTTACTGCAAGGCAGATGTGCTAACCACTAAGTTTTTGCATATTGGGAAACTTCCATGTATGAGGAATTAGTGATTTATACATTACATTGTGATTTTATTTAATGCTTTGGTGCTTGAAATATTTTCCAGCACAGTAGTGATTTTTTTCATATAGTTTTTAATAACTGTGCATAATGAGGGATGCAAAATTGTAACTGGACCACGCAGCACTATTTGTAAGGTTTTTATATCCTGATATTAAGTAATGAAGGTAGGGATCAACATGTGTGCAATTTACATCAGACCCTGTGCTAGCCAACCTGCAGCTCCCAGAAGACGCCGGGACATTCACAAAGCGCAGCGCTTCTCGCGCATGTCACAGCCGGGTGCCCACACTAAAGGGGGACAACTCTGTGGAAGTGGGAGTGGGTACCCGTCAAATTCAGGTACCGCTCCCCCTCCCTCCCCCAAAGGTCCGCGGTCTCTTGGTCATCCCCTGCACCGCGTCCGCAGTCTCTTGGTCATCCCCTGCACCGCGTCCGCAGTCTCTTGGTCATCCCCTGCACCGCGTCCGCAGTCTCTTGGTCATCCCCTGCACCGCGTCCGCAGTCTCTTGGTCATCCCCTGCACCGCGTCCGCAGTCTCTTGGTCATCCCCTGCACCGCGTCCGCAGTCTCTTGGTCATCCCCTGCACCGCGTCCGCAGTCTCTTGGTCATCCCCTGCACCGCGTCCGCAGTCTCTTGGTCATCCCCTGCACCGCGTCCGCAGTCTCTTGGTCATCCCCTGCACCGCGTCCGCAGTCTCTTGGTCATCCCCTGCACCGCGTCCGCAGTCTCTTGGTCATCCCCTGCACCGCGTCCGCAGTCTCTTGGTCATCCCCTGCACCGCGTCCGCAGTCTCTGGTCATCCCCTGTACTATGTCTGCAGTCCATTGGTTCAGAATATGTTTTTTCTTGTTTTTCTCCTTTAAAACCTAGGTGCGTCTTATGGAGCACAAAATACAGTAACCCTCTGCTGTCAGGCCTGTACGATGTATGGACCTGGCGGCTAAAGGGTTAAAGGACACGTGTATGAAGTGAAAAATTTACACTACCATTGCTGACCTCCTTCCAAAAATGTTACTTGCCTGGCTGTCTCTGGCTTCAAAACTTTGAGTCACTGACTCAAAAGCACACAGCAAATGAAGTAAAATTCCCGATTTGCATATTCCTCCCAGGTCAATGTATAAAGTCAGGACAGCCAAGAAACTAGCATCTTCAACAGGAGGAGGTCAGAAATGATACCCTTCAAACTCTGCCTAGTATAGATTGTGTTTTTTTTCTTTTCTTTGAGCAATATGTCTGCCAAAGAGTGTAACTGGATTGAATGGGAACTACAGCAATCAAGTATGTAATGTTTTTGTCCCTCTACAGCCTTAAGACCTCGTTCACACCATAGAGACGTCACCATGACCTGCAAATGTTCTCCATGTGCCCTTTTCACACCACAGCACTGCTTTCACGTGTGGACTTTTTCTACGCAGCAATCTTCAACATGTATAAAACTCACTGAAATGTGCATGAAAAACGATGTAAACTTGTTTGTCTGCAAATTAAATCTGTGCATCTTTTCCATCAGTTTTTCTGCACGTATGGTGAGAACGAGGCCAAAATCGAAACGGAAACTTGTATTGGGTTGGTATAGCGGACCACCTTCTGAAAATGTTAGTTGTCTTTGAGTTAAATACTTTCTGAGTCGATGACCTGAACGATTATTCAGAAGTGCAAATTACATCACGATAGATGATTAATTTGTTCTAGGTCCATGACACAAAATGTATTAAAGCAAATGTACCAGCATGACAACCTAGTAACTAGCATTTTCCTAATGAAAGTTCAACAACAGCAGGTCATATATTTCTTTCCCTTCTGAACCTGTTTTTTCCCACGCTGACCAAGAAATAGGTTCATATAAACATAACTTCCCACTTCCCTCGGCAGCATATTCTCATCAGCACTTTGCTCCCGTCTCTCCATTCAGCCATTTGGAGGGAAGAGTGTAAACTCACTCAGGGCTGAGAACTTTATTCCCATATTCATTTGATAGCACTGAAGAAAACCAAGTCTGAGTCACATGCCCTCCTTCATACACACAAGTACCAGGCATTTCTTTGTTCCCAGTAGGTGAACAGAGGAAAAAAGGGAAGGTCAGGTGATAGGGAGAGGGGAAAACCACAGATTCACTTCAACATTCTCTCAATCTTGTAAGTCAATAGGAAAACCTAATTAAATAAGGTAAGACAGCTCTGCAGATACAGTATATGCATTTTCTATATCTACGTAAAAAAAACACATGCTCCACCTCAATAAAGTTTTCATCAGAAAAGTATAATTACCTTTGCACGCCTTCCATCTGTTCCTTTGTGTAACTCTTTCCAGTGTCCCCAGCAACATTTTCCTTCTCTGCATTTTGCTTGCATTGCTTGTCAACATTTGAAGGCTTTGTTGCCTGAGGTCCATTTCTTGATGTACCATCATCTTTTTCAAGTTTTTCCAGCAGTTCTTAAAGAAAAAAAGAAAACAAAAAAATAAATATACAAAATCTGCAATCTAAATTAGGATATGAGTCTTAAAACATGTACCAGAGCTTGGTGATCATTGTTATTTTCTTGGCATGGGTACTTTACTGGGCTTACTGTACGAGCTACAAAATTCCACACACTATTCTCTCTATGGCTATTAGACAAAGTACATGTCTGGACTGTTTTTAGCAGCTGCCTGGCATCTGCATAGCATCGTTTAGAAATCATTTCCTCAGGGTGAAGAACTGACAGCAGGCATACAAGGAAGACGCTATAGTTCAGACAGAAAGAACCCTAAAGCTGGCCATAAATGGATCTTAATTCATCCAGTTTAGCAGCGACCATCCGAATTTCAATCCATGTATTGGCACCCTGGTTGTACAGAAGTCGATCTCTCAATCAATATCTGTACTACCAGCCTGTTTTGGGTTTTTGTAATTAATTAGTGCTGCCGGCTATAGCTGCCAACACTGATGATTGTGTTCTGCCGGCAGAAAAGGCTCCCTGCGAGCAGCTCAAAAGAGCGCAGTAGGAGGAATTCCCGGTCAAAACAGACAGTGTTGATGGGGGGAAAATCAATCAATTTTCTTTCCTTCCACCCTTCTTAAAGAGGAGTTCCAGTCATACACTAAAAAAATAACAGCAGCTACAAAAACTGTAGCTGCTGACTTAAAAAACAAAACAAAACAAAAAAAACAGCCACTCACCTGTCCCATGATCCTGCGGTGTCCTCACCGCAGCCCATTTTACCGGCCGTCCTGTGTTCCCGGCACTGGCATCTTCAGTGTGGGAACCTGGCTGTGACAGCTTGCCGCTTCACAACCGGTTCCAACTACCCATGAGCGAGTAGCGCTGCACTTTCAGAATGGTCCCATAGTCTTCTGGGACCTGTCACGTGTCTCAGAAGACTACGGGAAGGAGAGGAGCGGATTGGTAGGACAATGTCCGCTTCCGATCACCTAGGCAATCGCAGCGAAAGGGGGAGCGGGTACTTGTCAACTTCAGGTAACTGCCCCCCCCCCGCTCCCCAAAAGGTCCCAATCCTTAACGGGGAGTGGAGGACCAGTCTTTAAGGTGAAACTTTCCCTTTTGGGTGGAGCTCCATTTTAGGTATCCTAACAGAAGCCGTGGTCCTAAGTGGACACAAAGCTTTAATGCTGTGTTAGGGACAATTTTAGGATGTGTGCTCTGCATAAACAGAGAAGGCAACACCTATGTATAAAGCTGGTCATACAGGGACTGAAATTCGCCAGGTTCAGCAGAGTCAAGACGTATTTTGATCCATGTATGGCCACTGTGGGTAAATAGAAGTTGATCTCCTGGTCAGCTTCTGTTGGAAACTTTCTGCATGATCAGCGCCACAGGCCTTAGACTGCAGCACAGATCTGTGTATTCTGATGACAGAGAAGTCTCCCTATTGTCAGACTACCAAGACACAATGAGGAGGATTCCCCAATCCACACATTCAAGGCGGTCAGTTTTTTTCATTAAGTTCACTGGTTGAATGGAAAGTGAAAACAAAAAAAAACAAAACAGGGACTCATTTGTGGCCACCAAAGTGTCTAAAGCTTACTTTTAGGCAGCGACAGGGCACGGCTGCTGTAATAGAACAGACACTGTCACTGTACAGGGGAAAAACACGGGGACACACTGTACAGAGGAATAAACAGTTAAAGCTAGTTCACACCACAGGGCAAGTCATACCACGTGTTATAATGCACATTACTGCAATGCCTAGTAATGCACAGTAGATGTAGTTACAGTGCACTGCCATTCAAAGGTAATTGCACCGTGACACACACCTACCAAGCACTGCAACAAACTTGTGTTACAGTGCACTGCAACACAGACACATATGCTCTGCACTGGAAGAATCACACAGAGCCTTTTTTCTGCAATAAGATGTGTTAACTGCATTAACAGTTAACCACATTTTTTAAATTGTTACCAATACCTGATCACTGATTGAAGAGACTCTTCTGACAGGTATTAAAAGTCAAACATTACAAAGGTTCACATTCCTGTATCAGCAGATTCAAATTGTATTGAAACATGAGGCATGTGATGTGGCACTGTACAGATGAATGCATGACCTCTTTCTGTAATGTAGGACCTGACACTTCTTGTGAAGAAACTACAAATCCCACAAGTCCTGAATCTGTCAGTGTTGTGTTGGTGCAGAAGGGAGCTAACCAGTAACTAGATCTGACAAAGCCACAAACAGGCAAAGTATTCAGAGATACACAGACAGCTCACACATGCAGTGTTTCATCACGTTAGCACTCCCACAATTATGATGCAACACAGGAGAGATGGCAAAGCATCTGTGTGACCTGGAACAGGAAGTTACCTGCTCCGTTTGTGCATAGGGTCAAGCTAGGTGCAGCAACACATGGACATAGTTTAAAAGACATTTGGGGTTTTTGTTCCCCCAAATATACTTACCTAGGTGGATGCAGCATCGGTCCGATGCTGCATCTGTCTTCCGCTGGCTCCAAGTGTGAGAACTCTGCAATCACATGGCCACTGATCGCTGAGTTTTCCTCCTGTGATCCACAGAAGTACAGCCAAAAGAGTTACTGATCAGCAACGAAACCATAAACTACAGCCACAACATGTAAACCTATGATTACAAGGAAAAAAAAAACAACAACAACACAGGGAATTGGTGCACCAAAATAAAAATTCTGCTGCCAAAACCGAAAATTCAAAATGCACTTGGCCAAAAACCGAAATGCGCAGTTTTTAAAAATGAATATATATTTTTGAAAAGAAATACACTGATAAAACAAAAAAAAAAACATATACCCCAATTTTTTGTAAATAATGTAAGAGGATGTGACGGCGAGTAAATAGATATCCAAAATGTTACGCTTTAAAATTCTGCACGCTCGTGGAATGGCGTGAAACTGCGTTACTTAAAAAATCTCCATGGGCGATACTTTGTAAATTTACACTGCTAACCTGTAGAAATTTTTAGAGGAGTTCTAGTGCGAGAATTATTGCTCTTGCTCTGACGTTCGTGGTGATACCTCACGTGTGTGGTTTGAACACCATTTATATATGTGGGCATGGCCTACATATGCGTTCACCACTACGTGCGAGCATGGGGGGGACTGGGGCACTTTAAACTTATTTTTTTTTTATTTAATGTGGTTTTTGTTTTGTTTAAATTTTTTTTTTAAAGGGACAGTGCAAAAAAACAATCACTTTTATTCTTATCAAAATAAATGCATGCATCCCTAGTGATAAAAATAATTAGTGACAGGTCCTCTTTATGGAGAGATATGGGGGCAACAAGACCCCACATTTCTCCTCTACAATGTAAAGCAATGGATCAAAAACGCATTGATCTAGGTGTCCGTTTATGAACCAGCGGTAAATGATCGCTGCTCAGTTCTTCGGCATTCTCGGAGAACACAGTTCTCCTGTGAATGCCTTTTATGAAGCGGTGTAGATCAGTTCTCCAAATGAAGGGAGAACGGTCTCCAAACGCTGGAAAACGGCTGCTTTTACTATAATCTCGCGAGATTACAGTAAAAGATCAGTTTACTAAACAGAGGTAAACTATCTCTGCTTAGTTTGCGGTCCCTCCGATTCTTCAGCTCTGGGCTGGAGAATCTGGAGGGAGAACACAGATCTCCAGTGAAGGGCTGAACATGTTCTCCGCTGATCTCCTGAGCGTCATAAACTGTGAATGACCAGAGAATAGCAGCGATCCTCTGAATCGCAGCTATTCTCTGTGTCATAAAGGGACAACCTAGTGCTTTAAAAAAAAAAAAAAAAAAAAAAAAAATGGCCGGAATGGGAAGCGACGTCGCTCCGGTCCTCCAAGGGCATAGAGATGAGTGGCAGCCATCTTTCCTTCACTAATCTCTATGCCCAGCACCGGGATCTATGGTTTCTCAGGTAAGGCTACCAAGCGGCGGCCGGTGGCGAGGCGGGCGGGCTGTGGCGAGGGGCAGGTGGTGGTGAGGGGCGTGTTTTTTTCAGCACCTGTATCGGTGCTTTTTTTCATTTCAGCGAACGGCTGAAAGGGGTGTGTTCGGCCGAAACATTTCGGCTACCAAAATTTCAGTGCATCCCTACAGGAAACATAATTACACTAATACCTAATTAAAACCACAAAAAAAATATTTGAAAGTGTACACTCTCGATGGCCATCTGCCATGACCTCTGCCTGCACACAACTATTTATCTACCGCATCAGTTCCCTTTTGTCTAAGTAACCCATGGTAGGGCAATCCAAACAGCTCTGACCTGGTGCTAGTTTGCAGCAAAAGAAAACTGGAGATCAGTAGGGTTTCTGGCCCATCTCCACCATCAAGAGCTCTGGTAAAGATTAATGGGTACCTAGATGATGGGGGCACCATAACAATTAATAAGCCTCTGCATCTCAGCTCCCAGCTGCTGCAAGTATTTTACCGTTGGACAAGTTGAAGTGGACCTTCACCATAACTGAAGTTGTCCTCATCCCTTTCTTACCAATTAGGATTTCTGGTCTCGTAGATACTTTGTCGTCGCTCCCAGTGCGTGCGCAGATGTGCTGCAGGACTTGGATCCTTGGTGAGCCCTGTAGCACATTTGCACATGCACCGGGATACCCGATATCTACTCATGTGCTTGTTTTTATCAGGCACCTGCAAAGGCAGCTAATAGAGAAGCCAGATATCTTCCCTGTCCTTGCACGTACAGGACATTCCCATAGCGTGTGAGCAGATGAGCCAACGGAGCACCTCTGAGGGGCAGATCCTTAAGGAGACAAACTGAAGTTTTGGTTTAATCCCCTGCCATTAGAGGTAAAGCAGGCCATACATGGCTCAAATTCCGAATGATTTTTCGATTGAAAAATCGAACACATAATTTGTTCTGTAATCCAATGGTGCCACCAATGATTTTGAAAATCGGTAGTTTTTCATGAATTTTCCAGCATGCCCGATAAACAAAATGGGGAGGAACCACAAAAATTGGCCAGTGCTA